GGTACGGTACCGGTGGGGACGGGTCTGTCACTGTGTAACACTGGGGTTCAGTACTGGTTCGGGCAGGTCTGTCACTGTATAACGCTGGGGTACAGTACCGGCGGGGACTGGTCTGTCAATGTTAAACGCTGGGGGTAGAGTAATGGTGGGGACAGGTCTGTCAGTCTATAACTGGGGAACAGTCCTGGTGGGGGCAGGTCTGTCACTGTATAACCATGGGGTACACTTCCAGTGGGGGCAGGTCTGTCACTGTATAACACTGGGGTACAGTACCGTTGGGGACAGGTCTGTCACTGTATAATGCTGGGGTACAGTACCGGTGGGGACAGGTCTGTCAGTATCACACTGGGGAGTAGTGACAGGGACAGGTCTATCACAGTATAACATTGGGGGAACAAGACCGATGGGGACAGGTCTGTACTGTATAACTCTGGGGTACAGTAATGGCGGAGACAGGCCTGGCACTGTATAATACTGGGCTACGTTAGTGGTTGGGACAAGTCTGTTGCTGTATAGCACTGGGGTACAGTACCGGTGGGGACAGGTCTGCCACTGTGTAACACTGGGGTTCAGTACTGGTGGGGACAGGTCTGCCATTGTGAAACACTGGGGTACAGCACTGGCGGGGTCAGGTCTGTCTCTGTATAACACTGGGGTCCAGTACTGGTTTGGGCAGGTCTGTCACTGTATAACGCTGGGGTACAGTACCAGTGGGGACAGGTCTGTCACTGTATAACACTGGGGTACAGTACTGGTGGGGACAGGTCTGTCGCTGTATAACACTGGGGTACAGTACTGGTGGGGACAGGTCTGTCACTGTATAACACTGGGGTCCAGTACTGGTTTGGGCAGGTCTGTCACTGTATAACGCTGGGGTACAGTACCGGCGGGGACAGGTCTGTCACTGTATAACACTGGGGTACAGTACCGGCGGGGACAGGTCTGTCACTGTATAACACTGGGGTACAGTACCAGTGGTGACAGGTCTGTCACTGTATACCACTGGGGTACAGTACCGGTGGGGACGGGTCTGTCACTGTGTAACACTGGGGTACAGTACCGGTGGG